TGTATGTATGTATTTATGTATCTATGCCTGTGTATATATATATATATCTATATAGAGATGACTGGAAGCGGTACAGTAGCTTGCGAAGGAGGTTTCACCTCGATTTGGCTGCATGTGCATCGCTGGAAACATGAGTCGTATTGGACATCAACAATCCCATCTACTCGCTCGATCCTGTGGGGGTTTGCTGTTGCAACTCAGCATGGACAGCGATTCATCATCTAAGTGTGGCCGGCACAGTCAGCAACATGTCGTAAAGCTGTCAGGCAAGCTGTGCATACATCTCTCAGTCATACCATACAATTTTCGTATTTCGCGCATCGGTTTGCTTTGCAGCCGCATTGCTGATGCGCAGGCCAACAAAGACTATTGCATGTCCATCCGGCAGGGCCGAATAGGCAGGATCCTGGCCTGCCAGAGCATCAGATCGCCCCGCAAGACGCATTGAAACTGAAGCGTGTCACCGACGTCTGCTGTGCGACTCCTGAAAGGCGATGGTTCGGACATCATTGTTTGGGCAGAGAGCTTAGGAGATGGGAGTGGCTTCCAGACTAGAGTCCTCTTGCATTGGGCTAGCCCCATAGTTTCGATGCTCAAGATGAGCTTTGTAAGCTTCATGATAGCTGAATACCTGTTGGCGCAGAGAAGCTTGGCGGAGGGCGGGAAGTGCTCACATGCAGCGGCGACAGATCCGAGGGGATATTGAATTATGTGCTACATCCGGCATAAAACATGCAACTGTCATCTCGCGGCGCTACTGGATAGACTGGCGGACTGAGACGAGGCCTGCGGTCTCCAAGTTGCGAGGTGGAGGAGGATGTGTCAGAGCCGGTGGCAAACGTGGCTCGAAAGACAGGGTAACTTTGAAGAGACACGCGACTGGACAAAGCCCGCGCCACGGGAGCATGGAGGAGATACCGCAAAAACGTTTGACCAAGTCTGTGAAAAAGAAGATGTGTCCATCCCTATCCAAACATTGTCCTGATGCATGCACCTTTGACCCGAAACTCCGAGAATTCGGTATCTCGCAAGCGCTCGTACACAGGCACAGCCCGACTGAATGAATCGTTGGGAAAGGTATGTCCGGCTGCACGCGGCATATGCCCTTGAAACATCCGGGAACCTTTCCGTGCACTCGCGGAAGGCATCTTGCCGAACAACGTGTTGAAGCCAAGCTACGATGAGTCTCCAACACTGATGCGACTTGCTGACGTTGGAATCCTGTGCCCCCCGGCCTGCGGCAAGTGCCAAAGCCGGGTTTCCCCGCTCCAGATACGTCCTGCGCCAATCTGCAGCAGAAGCTGTGCCCTTGCAGCGGCATGCTAACCCATGCTCCCTTGCAACGTTTCCTGCTCCGACCCAGCAGAGCGTGCTTGCATATGCTCAGAAGGGCAGGCGCGCAGAAAGAAGTCACTCAGACAGGCGAAAATAGCGAAAATGAAGCTTCAGAGCAAAGCCAAAGCAGGAACCGGGTGAACACCCGGGCGCAAGCCAAAGCTGGTTCGCAGAAACAGACTTCACATGACTTCCACAAGCCTCCTGTGGCGATGTGCCACGATCCTTTGGTCGCTCTTACGTTTGCCCTGCGAACCAAAGCTGCCTGCAATGCGCATCCTTCTCGGCCACAGAGCATCGGTTGAAGACCTTTGTGGCCTTTGCAGGGTTTTTGAGTTCGGACTCCACTAGCAGCACTAGCAGTTTATTTTCGAGGCACGGATGTCAGGTAAGGCTTTTCGAGTCCGACAATTGGGGACATCTGCAGCAAGAGGGCGTCTCTATCAAAGGAATTGCATCGTCTCGAATGTTCCGCAGCGCCAGTGATCTGATATCTCTGTCAATGCAAACCGTATTTGGGAACATCGGGGCAAGGATGTCAGGTGGGCTGTCGAGTCTTCAATCCGCTAAAAATTTCGCAGTGCAGATGTGGGGAGGCGGTCCTGAGTCCAGCATTTGGTTGATGTTTAGCTTTTCGTGTTTTGCAAGTTCCAACGGCTTCTTTGGTCGGTCGCGACTGGGGTCGGTCGCGACTGGCGCGCCCATTGCTAGCTTGTCACAACCTCTCCGGTCATGACCTTGCAACACTTGTCTTAAATGCGATCTGTAACCCGAAACGTGCAATCCAGTACATGGAGCTCGGGTGACCAGTTGGTGTTCTCCAAGGCTTGTGACGAGCCCTACGAACTAGACGACGAGCTCTGATGGGGCCGCCATCGGCGAACTTTGAGCTGAAGGTATGCATCGCCTCAGTTTCAAATCTTCGGTGGATGCAACTCTGACCAGGAGCTTCTGACGTTTCTGCAAGGCATTGAGCGCGTAGTCCCGGGCGATGGCTGTGTCAAGTCCGGCCCATGCCGGTTGTCGGGCCAGTTTGCCCTAATGTGGGCACTGATGTCAGGCACTGCAACGGAGTTGCGACAAACAGACGAAGGATGTGTGAGATGTGTGTGTGTGTGTGTGCCTGCGGGGCGGCCAATGCCGGGACGCCTGGTGAGAGGATCCCAGGAGCCATCAGACCGCTAAATGAGAACGGTGCCTAGTTTGCTGCCTCCGGGCACAGGATCCTTTCACAGGGCCGTCCTGCCGCTCTTAGGACCGGAGATGCGGAAACTCACGCAGAAAATCGGCGCCTGGCAATTTCTAACTAGACTCAAAGAAGGCTGGACATAATGAAATTGCAGGGAACATGAACTCGGAAGCGTCTGAATTCCAAACATTTGAGCGCAGCTTCTTCCATGTCCTTGCGGGGCGGTCATGTCTTCACAAGTGTAAGTCGGGCTATGCTGGCCGCAAAGTGTCAAGAGCTGCTGGCAGCACAATTGCTAAAAGCTGTGAGATTTGTCTCGCCCAGCGGAAGGTGCGACGCCACCACCTGGGACTCGGCTGTTGAGGCCTTGCATGGGGAGGGCAAGGGATAAGCTGAGCCTGGAGATTGAAGCATTCTTCGTGCTTTTGCCAGGCCTCGTCCGAGCCCTGAATCTGCGTGTGTGGCCAAGCTGGTCTGCACTCCGGAGGAGCGCGTGACATGTGCTTTGTTCCCGACCCCCACATGTTTGAGAAAGGCCTTCCGCGGACCTTGAGTGCTCAAATCAGAGAACTGGTTACGCATTTCGTTGAAGAGCCTGCAAGGATGCATCTGCACGGGCAGAAGCAGTCGAAGCGGGAGCAGCTGCATCTCAGTACAATCAGAGCGGTAACGTGCTGTGAATTGGGCAATGGATGGGAAACTGCCCTGTGGTTTAAATGCATCTCCTTGAGGTGTCAGACCAGGTGCAGGCTCCGCCGACTTTGTTGCAACAGCTGCATGTGCACGCGACGCGGCTTCTGCGGGAAAAGATCAAAGACAGCCAGGGCCTGGGTGGAATTAAGACTGCTCCACCCAGTACTCGACTGCTTTTCCCAACGTCAAGGCCAGCCCAACAGCAATGGCGAGCCGATTGGAGAAGATGCAGCCAAGGGCCATCCGAAGAATCTCGTCTCGTCTCGTCAGGCTCTGTGCAGCTTAGTTTCGCTCCTTCCGTTGCTCCAAGGTACACGCCGACTCCTTCCAAGTGCTCTGCAGCCCGCAAGCCCTCGCAGCCTTCCACCGAGGACTCAACAAAAATGGTGGGGACGCGCCGGGACGTTGTGCCTTTCGCCTTCTGCCAGGACCGGCCCTCGGCGCAAAGCGGACCCAAGACAGAACGCAGGAAGGCCGAGACGGTCACAGGCGGGAACATGGCTTAGAGGTCCACACTTCGGCTCCGTGGTTTCATTGAGCAGGCAGGGGCCGAGCAATTCCCCGCCACACGCAGGGCAAAGCCCCAGAAGCTTGGCAAAATTCTGGCGAGAATCTAACGGCTCAGTCTGCCGGTTCTGGAGCCCTTGCAAGGTCTGCGGGCATTTGCAACCGAGGTGGCGCAGTCCAGACTGAAGCTTCAAGAGCTGCAGATCCCAGGGACTTCTCCGCAAGTCCCACAAGGGGCACCTGAAGCTTGATGCTGTCTCGATACTGTCTCGAGCTGGGAGAATTTCAGGCGGCTTCTAGCCGAGAGCTGGTCTCCAATATCTTCAGCTTGATGCTTGTGATGCTTTGTGATGCTTGAGCAGAGTGTGAGACAGCCGCCCGGTCCCCTCTGTCTAATTCAAATTCTCATGGCCATGCTCCCAAGTTTGCGAGATGCAAGCAAACTGGCCGGAGAATTTCATAGCTGCCTCCTGCATATACCAGCTTGTAGCAACTGCAATGCCGGTGCAGAACACGGAAGTCAACAAGCGCTGGTGGTGCTTTCTGGCGGCAGCAGGTGCAATGACTCTGCAGGATGGGGAGAAAGTGAGAGATGGTGACAGGCGTGAGTTTAATGGTGCCGCATGTCAAAATGTAGCCATGACAGCGCATGCCGCTCGAAATCCTCAGCCACTGAAAAGATCAGTGGGAGCCAGAACTAGATCGGGCTAGCATGAGAATCACACATGTTTCCCTCGGTGACATGGTTGCGCTGCAGTTTCGTTCTGAAACAGGGTGAGAATAAGCAGAACAGGGCCACAGGATTCTGGTTTCCAGCACTTCCGCATGTCAGTGCAGAGCCTAAGCAGCAAACGAGCACCTAGAAGTCCATGCCCATTACCATTTCAGGAGCGACAAACCCATGACTCCCAACAGTACGTGGCGGAATTACAATTTGGACTCCAGGACATGCAGCAAGAGCACGACGTCAGGAGACATGCTCGAGACCCTGGAGGGAAGACGGTTTTAGGAGGCGGAATCGCAAGTTGCCCCAGAAACTTGCATGCATGAGCACGATTTCGGCAGGTGCGTGGAAATGCACGGGACTGTCCGAAACGACGACGTGCAACACGAACTATCGCATGGCACTCTGGCGGGAGGGCGATTTGCGACTTTAGAAAATTCAAAAAAGTCCAAGACCCCTTAGCGGCAGGACTTCGAAACCACACCAACGAGGCTCGAGAAGCCGAATGGCGTGGCTCCGATCGATTTGAAAGTTAGAATGATCACGGGACTTTTGCAAGCTTGATTCGTCAAGTTCAGAAAGTCTTTGCTTTTATGGACAGCGCGGAACTGTGGAAAGAATGTTGTTTTATGTTGTTTTTGGATGAAAATGCGCACTGCTGCAGAATCCTGGCGAGCGCAGGCCGCACATCCCCATAAACTCATCCCTGTACTCTCAAAAGCTTCATACTGTTAGTGTCATGTTCAACAAATCAAGTGAGTTGCATCCGGTGCGACGCAGTCGCGATGGCTGCTGCCATGACCGACACCAACAGTCCATGGACCTACAACGTCCTGTGTGGCCTTTGCGCTACAGGCGACAAGTGCTTCAACCACTTGTGGGTCTTCGTTCTCACGATGTGTAGTCTGTGTTCAGGAACGAAGCTTTCCGCTTGTCTTAGCTACCTGCTATGCGATGCATCTTCATGCAAGTCGGTTGTGTTGCAGCCTCGAAGACCGTGCCCTGGCTCGAGGCTTCTACTGTACAGGCGCGGGGCTTTTCCAGATGACGGTGCTGCCTTCCTTCATTTTGCTGGTCGGCGGGAGCAACTTTGACGTTGGCTTTGCAGAGGGCTTGCAAGGCATCCCCAGATTTAGCGATGCATTTGGCATTTGATCATGACTTGCCGGGCTGCCCGTGGTGGCCAGAGGGCGAAAGCGTCCCCAGGCCTCACCAACCTGATCTTCGCCTTACCAGTCGGATACATTGCCGATAAGTGGTCGAGACGGGCATGCATCAGGACAGCAGCACCAGACCCAGAGAACCAGTGTGTGACAGCTTGACATAGCTTGATGTCGATGTTAGCCTTTGGCCCGCAACCAGGATTGGCGCCAGTCTCTCCCTCCTCTCTGGCGCATGCTTGTTGCTAGCTGTTCTCTTGGCAACGGCCGACAATTCAACTGCCTTTGCGATCCTCTGTGCAGCTCTGGGTCTGCAAGGCAGCTACTAGTAGCTTTCTGGGGTCGTGAGCGGCGGACTGCGAGTAAGTGGGGCTCGACTGTGTCTCAGATCTTCAGGCATCTGTGATGGCATCATGAACGGACCACTGGTGGCCTTGATGGACGACTCGTGTCCTGCGGGACGCCGCTCAGACGTGGCTTGGGATGAACATGTTTACGTCAGCTTGAGGATCTTGAGGGATCTTGTCTTGCCCTCTTCACAGTCTTGCAGCCAGACTTTGGCTGCGAGGTGGAGACCATGAATGCCGTGGTGTATGAAGCTGCCTCGTCGGTCGGCCCGCTCGTCGGGTTGGTGGTCTTCCTCTACTCGGGCAACACGTGGTCACTAAGCTCCATGAAGCTCGTTATCGCTCTTGGTGTCCTGATATGTGTCTTGACGGCACCGCAGCGCTGCAACTGAGTGACATCATCTTTCCCTGATGTGTCTGAGGCCAACTGGCCATTTTCCCTTGCTTCTTCATGGACGACCGACGTGCGCTTGGGGAGTGCAGTGAGGCGGTTCATCTTCAGGAGCGTCTCGTGGGAGACTCGGGTGGAGCTCGGGAGCTCGTCGAGCGCAACCAGAGGGCGTCATGCTTCGGCTTGATCACCGTGGGCCGCGTTCGACTGGTTCTTTTCCTAAACGAAGTCATCCTTTGTTTGGGGGCGGGAATGACAGTGAAGTTCTTCCCCGTCTTCTTCAAGCAGGAGGGTCACATAAATCCAGCCCTCCTTCAAGCGGTTTTCGCTTCCCTTTCGGCTCTGACGGTCGTCTCGACGCTGATCTCCGCCCGCATCTCCAAGTGTGCAGGCCGCCTCCAGGTCATCATCCCATGCTGCTCGGCGGCTCAGTCTCCTTTTCGTGCTTGACTCCCGTCTGCATTGCGCTTGCCCTTGTTGAAACCCGGGCTCAACTCAGGCTACGCTGTGGGCATTACTTGCACAATTCTGCTTGGTTTGCTGAGACCGTACTACACCGTGCCTGGAGCAGCTTGGGTAGCTTAGAGACTGGTTGTGGTGTGCATGTCGGGAAGGCAGGCCAGAGGGACACCGGAACTGGCCAGATGGGGGTGCTCTGTTAGTGATAAATTGGTAAATATTGGTAACATCCTCATCGTACTATTGTGAGAGCAAGACGAATTCAATAGATCACCTTGTTGATTTAGTGCTGGAGTTGTTGGTCCAGGTCATGCTGCCGGTTTTTCTTCTGCGCTGCTCTTCCATGTGGGGCGCGTTCCCCCTCCTCGGATCCGTCATCGAGACCTGGCTGCAG